ATGATGGTGCTGATGATTGATGCTTTCTATTTTGGAGAAATAGAATTGTCAAAGTGGAGTCCAGAGATGATTTTGGATGGCCGGTAAAAACCCGAAAGCCTTGAAGAAAATTTTGTATCCATATAAAGTATTTCAATAATTTGTACCATCTGCCTGGACGTTATATATTGTTGCGATTGGGTTCTTTTAGGGCTATGAGGAAAAAGAGGAGATTTATTTGTAATACAGAAACAGAAAGATACTTGAGGAAGAGAGCAATTTGTATCCCTATTCTGTATTGTTAGTAACAAAATTTTCATCTCCCCAAAGACATAAGCACGTTACCGAATCACCTACATCTTTGCGTTGTGATTGGTTGCTTCTTTTTTCTTGTGTTTGTTTATTTTTTTTTGTTTCTTTGATTGTTTTCATTTCTGCATATTCTTCAAAATATTTATTTACTTTTATTCATAATTTTCTTTAAAATATATTAATTTTTGGAATTGATATTCTTTAATTTAGAGAATTTTTTTTTTTTGTTCACAATCATAGTCATGAGATGGAGATGACCAAATAAAAAAAGTTTTTCAACATTGGAAAATTCTTTAATGAATAAATTTTTAGGCGCGTCTTACCGCACGGGTATTAGTCAAATGAAGGGCCTAGATAATCTCTCCGAGTACAATATCGACCGTTCATTTTAAAATAATATTCCCATAAATACCCCTGCAACACAACTACCAAACCGGTTTTTATTTCTCAAACGTCAACGTGTCACATTTCCACTTGTCCATAAACTGACCATTAAATACAGGTACTTCATGTGACCTAACATTATTGACGATCACGGACAGGTCATCTCGTACGTATAGTTATACTGCAATCCGTATGACCATACGAACCTCTGATCATAAATATCGCAATCGTACGATCAAGGATAAGGCGGTGAACAGGACCCATCTGATGTTACACAGTTTGAATGCGTCTTTTCAACTTTTTCCACTCATTTTATTTATTTTATAAAAGTGATTTATGTACGCATTCAAAATAACTATCTGATAGAAAAAATAACCTCAATATAAGCAGAAATTATGACATGGTTTTTTATATTTTCTAAAATTGCCTCATATCGTGTTTCATTATCATCTTTTTTTAGGTTTTTGTCGGTGGGGCAGTGCATAGGCCATCCAAGGTTAAAGTCCTCGTATTAACTGAGAATGCCTCAATTATTGAGCAATACGAAGTCCTCACCTTTGGACATCTTTTTTCTTTTTTATTTTTTTGAAAAAAATAGCAGTCCGAAATCCCCATCTTCCGACCGTACTTTATTTTTTATTTTTTGAGACCGCTCTTTGAATTGAGCATAACTAAGTTCCAGGGTGGTTCAAAATCTTTATCCTTTTACCGCTCTACGGGGTTTTGTTGTGTTTGCAAGGCAGTCCAAGGATTTTAACTTCAGACCGCTTAGGCATTACCTTTAAAGCTTCCGATACTTCCCTACTAACGAAAAAAAGATAAATTAAAATGTGATATTCTGATCGAGGGTATATTATGAAAAATAATAATAAAAGAAATCGTATTGACCGACTTTCTTTGGAATTTTTACTTACACTAAGATCATTTCATATTTTAGGTAATTATTTAGGATCTTTACGTAATTTACTCAATTTGTGATGTTAACACTTACGACAATAGATTTTATAGTCTCATTTGACTAGTATTATATTTTGGAAATTGTTTATATAAAGCGTCAGCCTTATACTATTGAAGTAAGATGAACTTAAAAAATAATCTATAGAGTGTTTTGAGATTGGAAAGCCTTTCAATTTCATCATATGGACCATAAGATGTATGGGTATGAAAAAAAAAAAAAATTTAAAAAATAAATTATCTGGACCATATATTTTCAATTTTTTTAATTATTTCAAAGACTTTCTCAAATTATATTATTTTTAAATTTAAAATTTTATAACTAGGGCTAAAAATAGATTTTTAAGTTATCATAAAGTTTCCAATACAAGAATTATATCAACAACAAAATTAAATGGTGCACCATACTTCTACAGTAAAAGGAGAGTATGCTTTACAAAAAAAATCTCCCCCTTATTCTATTCCCTCCGTCATTTTCACGGGTGATTCCGCAAGTACATTTGGTCCCCCTGCATTAACAACTTCGGAGGGGGAAATTTTTGATGGACCCGGTTTCCATGTGGCGCACATGTATAAATACCGATCTCTTAATAAGTCTACTTTTTAGATGGATTTTAAGACTTTATTTTTAAGGTTTAATATGGAGATAATGAATATGAAAAAATAAATAAATTTTAAAAATTAAAAATAACAATTCTATAAATAAAGTATTTGGACCTTTAGTTTTGATTGTTTTTAGATAGAACACCTATTTGCATCCATCTTCAAGATAGATGCTTTATACTTTCTGGACCGCATGTGCAGAAATGCGATCCGACACGCATGAAACAATTTTCTTTTTTTATTTGAAATTTAAAAGATGCTTCATATCAATTCCCCCCACTTTCAAATCTATTTTTTTTCTTTTTATGATATTGAAGGTGGAAAACAATGTGAATAAAATACATAGCTTATACATAATGCAAATAAAAGTTCGTAGAAGAAATATTGGTTAGAAATATCCCCAAACTATGTGTTTACCTGTAGGACTGAATGTTAATTTTGGTCTCGTAGAGGCACCCCAATAAAAAGCATGAAAAGAAAAACTTCTATTGCAAACCAAAATATTATTCTTTCATTAATTTAAAGGGTGCTGTTAGTATAAAGCCGAGGCTCTAAACAATCAAAATAAAGTGCACGTTCAAATAGTATTGAGAAATATGGTTTCAATATTAAAAATCTTTGTGATAGCCTTAAAATATAAAAAATTTAAAGCTTCAGAAATAGTGTAGACTGAGCAGATCTATGAAAACTTGAAAATCTTGAAAATTGACGATCCAAAAATACATTACAAGATTCATTATTTCTAAAATTTGAAATTTATTTTTTTCTCATGTCCATGCATCTTGAGGTCGAGATGATCATTTTGAGGATATTTGGTTATCAAAACTTCCTCTTCTAGTGAGGTGGCCCCTAATTTGATTGTTTAGAGCCTACCACTCGTATAAATTTTTTTCCTAATTTAAAAGGTATGGAATGAGCTGCTGAGTTAATATGTGTCACGCCTTGAAGCATTTTAAGGGTGGTTACATATATTAAAAGCACAAAAAGAGAAGAAAAAAAAAAAGAAAAGGAAATTTATCAAAGTCCATAAGATACTAATTGTTTAGTATTTTATTTACTTTTTATTTAATTTGAAAACCTACAAAAGGACTTTTTCATGAGTTTTAGTAGTTGAAGTTTTAAGTCTATTTTGACAAATGGGTAAAATTTTAAATTATTGATATTTGATTTTTCTCGAAAAAACACGGCTGGCATTTTATTATAGCCACACATGAGTAAGTAAATATCAATTTTTAAGGCTTCAAATAAATGTAAAATGTTGATGTTTCTTATGAACCACAAAAAAATAACCATGCCAAGTAATGATTTTTATAGGTATATTGAATAAAACCTTCCGTGAATAACAATAAATACCTGTTTTTCATGAGAGAACAAGACCTAAAAATGTTTTAAAAAATGGATGCGATTTGGGTCAAGTGTTTCATGGGTCCCATTTTAAGGCATCACACATCCATCTTAAAAATGTTTTAAAAATAGATGTGGTCCCCCCAAAAAATATAAAACCTAACAGGAAATTTTTTTTTTTTTTTTAAAATAATCATTCTTAGTTGTTAGAATGTATTTTTGGGTTAATTTAGAGTACTCCTATATATGGAGTATTTTCTTAATGTATTTAATATTTTTAGGTATTCATTACTCTTGTTTTGTAGTAAAAAAAATTTTCAATCAAAAGCAGTTTTGGTCATTAGGGACTAGAATAGATGTTTTTATAAGAAACTAGTTATAATTAATTTTGCATGCGGGTGATATCATATTCCATATAGATGATATCATTCTCCACTATAGTTAATAAATATTTTTATTTTTATTGAAAACTTTTTATTTTACTTTTAATTAATTACCTAAAATTACTTTATATGAAAAAGTTTTTATGTTGTAAAATAAAGATATCAAGCATCCAAAAATTTTGAACGTATTAAAAAAATATTGTATGTGTACTAGCATTCTAATAGAACCGTTTACCTTTTTACATATTGTGATCTCCATGTTAGATATTATATACACCAAATAAATTAAGTCCAAAATCAATCGTAAAAATAGATCATAATGAAGGGACACATATCTCCATATGAGCCACCCCATTTGTGAGCCCTATTTACATTTGGAAAAAAGGTTTAATTGGGATGCAACCCTAGCAAAATAAATAAAGCCTCACATGATAATTTATCGAAAATTGCAATTCAAGCAGGAAACCTTAATAGATCATTTTAGCTTGAATATTGTGGTCGTAGAAAAAAAATAGGATTTCAAGATCCAAAAATAGTGTATATTATAACAAATTACCTAGACTCTCAATCTGTCCTAAAAATACGTGTTCATGGATCTACAAGATCTTTACCATTTTTTGAGTTTCAATTTTGATTGTTTGTGATGAAAATTGATTTTAGAGGGATCATAAATATTTTTATTGTAGAAAGTGCTTCATGGACGAAGATTTGAGGGGGGGTTTTATTTTATTTTCATAAAACCTACGCCTTAAAAAGAGTTTTTAGCTAAAAAAAAAAAACTTACTTTAAGAAGCGGGTGCACGATCCCTCCGGCAGGACGCCAAGAAACAGTATGAAACCGGGCACTAGCGATGCTCCCATGAAGTGCCGCAATCAAGTCTTTTCGGAGCAGCTGGAAAGAGGGAATACCTCACATCAACCATTAACTCTAGGGAGAAAACAATCACAAACCCTTAAGAGAGGGATGAGAGAGAAAGCGGCCAAAAAGCCTTAACAAAATAAAAAATCCCACCCACCCACCCCCCGCGCCCCACTTTAAAATCCCCAGAACCCACCCTCAAGCGAACCCAACCAACAACAGAGCTAGAGCAGAGTGAGTCCAGAGAGAGAGAAAGTGGGTGCAATGGGCAGTGTGAAGGTTCAATGCTTGGTGGCTGTGCTCGTGGCCATGGTGCTTGTTGCCGATGGGGCGGTGTCTTGCAACAGTGTCTTCTCCTATCTCGGTCCCTGTGTACCTTACTTGAGAGGCGGAGGCAAGGTGCCAACGGCTTGCTGCGGCGGGATTAAGTCTGTGAATGGGATGGCTAAGACGACGCCGGACAGACGGGCGGTTTGCGGTTGCTTGAAGCAGGCAGTTGCGGGGATCAGTGGGATAAACTACAGCCTGGCGCAAGGGCTTCCTAAGGCCTGTGGAGTTAGTATCCCTTACACTCTCTCTCCTAGCACCGATTGCAGCAAGTATGGTGTTCTTCTTTTTTTACGACCTCATTTCATGATATAATTTTATTATTTTTTTTATAAATTTAAATCACATTAAATTTGATAAATATTTTCAAATTGAAGCGTCCATCTTAGAGCCTTTCTTTGTTAAATTATTATTAACTCCTCGGTTTATTGTATTTTTGGCAGGATCAAGTGAGTGTGCGAGCATGCAGTTTTACTACAAATACCAATAAGAATGATCATCCATGGATGTCTCGACTCTTTGAGTGTCTTTTCCGGTTTTTGCTCTTTTTTCTTCCCTCTTGTTTGTATCTTTGTACCTCCTTTATCCTATAAATAGATGTGGTATTTTATAGATTGATATAGTATTGAGGCTACACTAGAGTTTCTTTGCATTTTCCCATTTCTATTCCAACTTCCTTCTTGTTATTTTGTTTTCCAAGCCTTTAAACCAGATAAGTTTCGATGCAAGACCACTTGAGGAGAGAGAATGAGAGAGAGAGCTAATGCGGTTGAAGCTCCAAATTAGAGCCAATATGTTTCAAGCTCCAAACTAACCTAAAGAAAGGAAATTAATTTTTGGGTTAAATTATTCGACCAATTACGTACACACAAAAAATGACCAAGTATAAGAATAGTCTCATTGACATAAAAATTACAAGGAAGATAAGTGTAGACCTGTGGTTTAAAAAATGGATCAGTGGCATCGGGTAACCCAAGAATCCATCCAGATCAGGGGATGAGTGATCCGGATTGAGAATCAGTCGAATTGATCGGATTAATCTGTAAAAAAAAAATATTAAAAAAATATTAAAATTTATTATAAATGTTGTTTTTTAAGAATTTAATAAGAATCATCGTATTATATTATTAAATTTTTTTTTTTTATCATGATACTATATTATTAATTTTATTTTTTTATCAATATGTGAATATTAAGATTTTTTTTTTCTGTATGAATTTATTTTAATCATTAAATTACATCATATAAAATAAAAATCATAGAACTATTACAAAATAAAAATCATAGAACTATCAGGGACGAAGTATATAATCATACATGGATTACAATAAAAAACAAATTTTTTATATGAACATTTTATTTTTTTTTAAAAAAACTTTTTATATTTTTACAAGAAATGTTTGTTTTTTTATATGAACATTTTAGTTTTTTTTATAAAAACTTTTTATATTTTTACAAGAAATGTTTGTCGTAATACATTTTTTTTTGTTTTTAACAAGAAATTTTTTTTTTTTGACAAAAAATACTTGTATTTTTTTTTATATAAGAAAATTTTTTTTTACAATAATTTTTTATTATTTTTTAAGTTTTTGACAAAAAT